TTGTTGCCCGAAAGATACTCGTTTATAAGACGTGCCCTGAAATTACAACAGATTTAGAGCTATCAAGCAAGCTTTCGTTGTGAAAAAATGCTGTGCCTTATAAGCGAAGAAAAATATTTAATATGGTAAGTCTTTTTCTGGGTTTGGGATTGGTTAATTTAAAGTTTGGGAATTTGGATTTTTAAGCAGAAACATGGAGAGCAAGATTCAGGATGCTAATAATTTTTAGTGGGATAAGGAATTTAGAGATAGAACCAATACCTGGTAAAAAAGTGGTCTTACCTGTATTTTTCTCAGTGACCGCTCTTTTGTCCCATAACAACTGTATCTGCCACTGGTTAGATACATACAGGGGTTTCAATAAGCATCGACGACCGATGAAACGTGTTGGGTACTGTTTTCCCCAAACAAGGAGCAACTAGTTTAATAATATTGTAAAGGATATGTTGTCACAGGCCTATTATGTGAATGCTGTAGTTCAGTCAATTTTTCACATGCACATTTCATTATAGGTCTACGCAGAATTTGTTCATTTGCAAATGAACATTATGTGTTTATTTTTATTTGTTCATTACTTGTAGGAGTTAGGTGGCTGACAAATTCAAACTTGAATTAATGTTACATTTTGTTGAGTGTACTCAGCTGTTCTCAATTTACTCCTGGGAACGCTGGAAATGGCATTTTAGGCCTTTTCAATTTCAAAATTTTCTGGGAAACCCCCATAAATAAAGGACTAACAATGGGGCTCTTGATACAGTCAGTTACTCTATTCAAACCAGCTGGGTACATGTACTTCAATTGCTATTGAAACGGCCCCCTGATATGTAGTTAGATACTTTAGTAGGTAACTCCTCTAGCTGGGTACTTTTTAGTCACTATTTACATGAACTGGTTGGAAGATGAGAGAAACATGAACTTCTCTGAGTACCAGCTAATAAAGGCCCAAGGTTGGGATTTTGGGAAAATTTTCATCAGGATGATAGGCTTGAAAACCCCCACTGAGAACTCTCTATGTACAGAATGTAAAAACAAACAAAATTAGTACAGTAATGGGCTACAACTGAGGTGTACATTTATAGTATTTGTAACAACAGATTGTCCAGTGCATGAAAAAATAAAATTTGTATTTAAGTAAGAAGATGCCATTATAACTTCAAATGTTAATATTTTTGTTTGATTATTTCTTCACCTTGTAGAGGGGCGTTCTTTCTGCTGGTGCTACGACACTGGTAAGAATGATTTGTTATAATGATCATAAGTAACTGTCACATATATATGTTGTTTAATTAACCCTTTGACCAACATCAATTTTCTTTGAACAATTATTTATAAAATACATGATCAAGACAAAATGCCAGGAGAATTAATTTAGTGATCACCAAATAGGTACTGTTTTTCTGCTTTTTTCTCTGTGTTCCTTGTCTGAATGATGATCATTTTAGTATGGTTTGAAAAATCTCTTTCCCCCTGCACAAGTTAGAGGACGAAATATCCTTGACCGTTTAAATTGTTGACATCACAAGCAGTACAATAATTGTTGTGGATTCACAGGGGCGCGGTTAAAGGTGGATTGGGGGGATGAACGGGCAAAAAGTTATGTGAAGTGCCAAGACCCTAATAAGTGATAGAATCAAAGTGGAACCTTGATACAACAAACCTCTTCATAGGGAGGTCCTCGTTGTGATTTTCTTTGCCCTAGTAATAAATTATAGTAAAATATTTGAAAGAGCCTCGATATAACAAAACCTTGTTCTGGCAAACAGATTTTGCCAGTCCCTTTGCCAGTCCATTTATTGACTGTATTTGCCATTGACCAGTTACTTTAATACATTCATTTTTGTGTTTTCAGAAGTCCAAGTTCAGTGCAGAGGCCATACAACTTGAATCGTCTTCATTCAATTCTGGCCTTAATTTTGGTAATGCAAACATTATTACATTGACATTATACCTTTAAATATTACATGTTTGTTTAGTGAAAGTATAAACAACTGGCCAAGAGGATGTTTGTTCTACAATCAGGTCATGAAAAAAATAATGTGTTTGTGCATCTTGAATGAAACTGCAGCTAATTTTGTACGTTTATTGCATAATAGACCTATTCTGCTAACTCAGTGTTGTACCCAATTCAAGTCTCCCGGGGTTAATTGATTCTTTGTGTATTGTATTTGCATTATAATGTGGCATTCACATTTAAAGGATATGGAAATTCCTGAAACAAAATGTTTTATTCCCAAAGAGTTTGAATTGGGTACAGCATTGAGTTAGCCAAATAGGTCCATGGACATCTGAGGCACTGTTAAGTTGAAATTCCAACAAGTGATGTACATGTACCTTATCGGCACTTACATGTAATTTCGCAGTTACAGTTTATAGTAGAACCTCAATAACTCCAACTCGGATAACTTCAATTCCCTTATAACTAGAACTAAATTTCCTTTCCCTTGAACAAAATTTCACTGAAATTTACCCCATTAACTCGAATTCCCCTCTAACTCAAACTGTTTCTCATTTTCCTTCCGAGTTTGAGTTACTGGGGTTCAACATGTACTGTACTTAATTTCATGATTTTCAAGAAACAATATTTCTTGGGGTTTTATTTTCGTGATTATCAACGGTTAGCTATGAAAAAGGGCATTAAATTTTGCGATTCTAATGTTCTCAACTTCATTTTATTTTCAAAAAGCCTGAATTTTTTGTTTCATTTTTTATGGTTTTTAGAGCTTTCCGAAGAGTTGCAGCAGCTTCAGGAAATGGCAAGAAAGTTCAGTCATGAGGAAATTGTTCCTTTTGCTGCTGAATATGACAAGACTGGTGAGGTAAAAAGAGAATTTGTTTACTTTACATTGTACATTGTACATGTAGTTTGTCATCTTCTTCCTTCTTTCCTTTTGTGTTAAACAAAAGTGTTTGTTTTTCAGTATCCCTGGGAAATCATCAAGAAGGCACATTCTCTCGGACTATTGAATGGCCATATCCCAGAGAGTTGTGGTAAGTAACTGCTGATTAAAAATATCGGTTTGGCTTCAATGTCTGTTTATTGTGTTGTTTGTACTTTAAGAACTCCAATCATTATTGAGAAAAACTGACAGGTTTAAGGGACTTGACCCTGTACACAAGTGAAGAGAGTCTGGTATTGCAATGATTATTTGTACATGTATGCAGGAATTTTTGCACCAAGAAATTGAAAGCTGGCAACCTAAATTTCAAGGCTAGTCATAGGCAACTGAACAAGTTTGAACAGCCACATTTTAACCATGTTTTTAACTAATGCTTACAATATGTTTTCAGGTGGAACAGCTCTGGGGGTCCTTGACGGATGTGTGGCAACAGAAGAGTTGGCCTATGGTTGCACTGGAATTCAAACTGCGATTGAAGCTAATTCTTTGGCAGTAAGTTGCCATTGTATTCGTGTGATGATTTTAAAAAAATGGTTTTAGCATAGGAAAATTTCTGAAGCTGTTTTACATGATTTTCTGTAACATAGCATTTTTTCATCCACAGAATCAAAAAAAGTTACACTAACATTACATTTCTGTTCCCAGCATAATGGTAATTCTTGTATTGAAAGGATCAAAGAGTAGGGAGATAGCAGTAATGCTTCCATACCATGTACTGTTCTGGTCCTTTGAGCTATTTAACACTGTCACCCATTTAAGATTTCTTTTCAAGAATGTGACATTTATTGGGTGTTGAGGCCAGGGCTAATACCAGAATTTACTGTTTATTCATCCCAAATTTTGTTGTTATAAGGAAATGCCTGTTATATTAGCTGGTAACAAAGAACAACAGAAGAAATATCTTGGGCGCATGGTGGAGGAACCTCTGATGGCGGTAAGTACATTGTATCACATCTATAGTGGAACTTCGATGTAGCGAAGGACTAAGGGACAGGCAAAATTATAAGCTAGAAAAAGGCTTTGTTATAATTATCGAGGTTGGGCAAAGGATGTAATTCGCTATAACGAGGACTATCTTATTATAGAGGTTTTTTATATCGAGGTTCTACTATATGATTGTTTGGCTTAAAAATGCAGCTACAATTATGATTGTATTGGTTACTGGAATCTAGTAATGTTGCTACTATCAAAGGTGGCTGAACACAGTTTTGCAGACTGTCAGTGGTAGCTTGCATGACAGTGTGTGTTTTAAACATGGCAGCGAAAAAAAGCAATGGTACACCGAAGACGATTTTCAAAATCTACTCATTAAAATTTTGTGATATTTGGCAGAATTTTTACTTTTATTGTATTTTAAATAATGAGAATTTTAAAATGGAAGTTGAACAGATGATTTTTTAGCCTCCCCGCAGACGTCCTTTGGGGTTCGTTTGCCATGCATTCATTTCTCCCGTCCGTGGGGGAGAAATGAATGCGTGAAGAATGAACCCCAAAGGACATCTGGGGGGAGGCTAATGATTTTTGTGACACATTTAATAATTACAGTGCAATAAATTATTGATAATCTAGAAACCCGTCTGTTAAAAATTTGGTCAAATAAGTTTGAAATGGTAATGATTAATTATATCCAGCTGTGTGCAAGGTTATAGGAAAATCTGATGCGTTTATTTTTTGTAAACTGAGCAAAAGTGAAACTTTAAGGTTGTATTCAATTGTTCATGTTGCCATGGATACTACTGAAGTGTCAAATTTTACCTGTCAATCAAAATCTTTCATCAATATATTTTTCACTTGCCAAGTTTCAGCTTGTTAGCTGGAGCCTTTCTCGCACAATGATTTGGCAAATGACCTATACTCAGAAACTGCCAAAAGTGTGTTCAGCCTCCTCAAGAACTCTAGGGTATCAGCAAGTCTGTAGCCTGTGTGTTTTTAGCCTTTGAACAGGCCTTTGGTCGAGCGGGGAACTAGCCATTTTTTTCCCCAAACAGAGAGCCTGTTCACAGGCTAGTGTGTTTTCCTTTCCCATGCCCAAGATAATCGTCTTCAAGATAATACTGTAGGACTTTCCCAGAGTGTATAGAAATGGAGTGATTGGTTGTTAGG